GATACCAACCTATTTAAAGATCAAGGGCCTGGAAAAATCGCAAAACTACGACGATTCGACTCGCATCGACTGGACAAAGTTCAGGTCACTGACGGAAAAGAGGTGTCTAGAAAATGAAGCGCCTTCTCTTGACAACCTCGAGGATATGATTAGAGGTTCTGCTCAAGAAGCGACTCATCATATTGAACATACTTCAAAATATTGTCAACATGAAGCGGAATTGGAAAGGCTCAGAGCGATCCGTCGTCGTGCAGAACGAAGGTATAGGCGCACTAAGTCCATTCATGACTTGAGGGAGGCAAGGCGCCTACAGAAAAAAATTCAGTGGCGAATCAATTCACTTCAGTCCTTTCGGTGGAAATCTCTGTGCGAATCGTTGGATCCACACAAACCTTTGACGCAAACATGGAGGATTGTTCGTGGCCTACGAACATCGCCGCATCAACATCGCCCCTTCAAGTGTCTGTCTCTCCACCAAGGCCGCACCGAAAATGAAGTAGCAGAAGATTTCTGCATGAAAGTTGCCGGTCAGGCGTCCACGTGCATCACGCATCACCTAGAAGACGCTCCAGTCTCCAGAGATTCAAAAATGGACACCTTTTTTTCTCTAGAGGAACTCCAAGCGGCCTTGACGGCTTGCAAACGATCTTCATCGCCTGGTCCGGATGGGATCACGTACATAGCTCTTTGCAACCTCGGTGAAGCAGCTCGACGGGCCCTTCAATCCTTGTACAACGACTCGTGGAGCAGCGGATTTGTCCCTCATACGTGGAAATTCAGCCACCTCGTCCCTGTGCGTAAACCAGGTAGATCTTCTCTGGACTTGGCCACTTATCGCCCCACCGCGCTTACCAGCTGTTTCGGGAAAGTGATGGAGAGGATGATTTTGACTCGCCTAGAGTGAGTACCACGAGGTATACCCTGATGCTATGACGGGCTTTCAGCGTGGGCCGTCGGCAATTGATAACGTTATTGACCTGGTCTCATCTGTGCAGCTTCGAAAAAGACTGAAACGTTTATCTGCGGCGCTGTTCTTGGACGTGAAAGGTGCATACGATAATGTATCACATGAAGCCATTCTGGATGTTATTAAAAATGTTGGATTAAGGGTCGGGTTTGCCAATGGATTGACAGCTATTTGAAAGGCAGAACTTTCTTTGTACAGACGGAGAATGGCACAACAACGCATCATTGCATCCGTCGTGGTGTACCTCAAGATGGTGTTCCTAGCCCCACACTTTTCAGTCTAGCGCTCCTCGGCCTGGTTAACGCACTTCCAGAATCAGTCCATCTATCAATATATGCAGATGACATCTGCATCTGGGCGCCAGGCGTAACACGCCTTCATTTGCGTGCCCGGCTTCAGAGAGCGGCTACAATAGCGACAAAGTACCTGAAAGAACGGGGACTAGAGCTGTCATCAGAGAAGTGCTCGCTTATAGCATTCACGCATAAGGCGATGAGTCCATATGTTATTAAAATCAACGAACACACGATCAACTACGTGAAGACCCACCGATTCCTCGGAGTCATAGTTGATCACGACCTCTCTTGGAGCCCTCACATCGCCCACATGAAAACTAAACTCACCATGATCACCCACGTACTGAGATTTCTTGCTGGAAAAACGTGGTGTGCATCGGTACGAGCAATGTTTCAACTCTACACTGTTCTGTTCCTCGGTTATACGCGATACAGCTTTACCGTGATTTGCGGGATGAGAAGAACAAACTTGCACGTCCTCCGGTCGATCCGAGCCCAAGCACTGCGAATATGCCTTGGTCTCCCGAGATGCACGTCTACAGCAGCGACAGTCTTCATTGCGCGTGATTATCCAGTCAACGCATACATCCGCGTAGACGCTTTGAGAATGCACCTAAGGCATTTCGTTCGGCTTCCATCACGTCACCTCGCCTCACTTCGAACTTCTAGGCCCCACTCAGCGTCCAGTGCAACTACATGTAGCTCAGCATTGCGCAGTGCTTCCATTGCACTTCACGCGTGCAGCACGCGAATTCGCTGCGAGCGAATGCGCGGACTGAAAATCGCCACTTTTTGTGTCATGTGAAACGGCCTTTACACAACAGAAGTTGCGTCGGCATTGAGCACACCTGGGACGCACAGCGGTCGCGCGTGCATGCCAAGTAATCCACGATATGCTCGGTGAATAATTCTAGGTACAGTGGTGAGCACTGTTAGGGTGAACACGCGAGCGCGTGGCCGATGGCACTATCAGCGCCACGTAACAGCCATCGTTGAAAACATTGCACATGCGCAGCATGTGCTTTGCGAAACACTCTTTCCACCACGCGCATCACGTCATCGATACGCTTGTTCGTCGTCTGCTAGCCGCATTTTTTGTTCGCTGAGCTGATACCTTCTGCATTTCAAGGTCCATCTGGTTTGAAGATTGGCGCGTGAAGGAAAAATGTGAGTGTAAGAGGGATAATTATTAAACTTTTTATTCAAGAAAATTGCACTTTTGCAATTCAAGTTAAACAAGATCATGATAACAAATATAAAAATATGAGCAAATCTAATAGCGAGTTATGTGACCACTTACAGCAACGACTGCAGCTATTCCGGACGGTAGCGAGTCGTAAAGTGATCGAACATATTCCCGATCGGCTTTCAGCCTTTCCCACTCGTTGCCGTCTTGCGCCCACAACTGGTCCTAAATCGCGGAATAAAGGGGCTTCCTTGCCAAAGAAGCTTTAAGACGGCCCCACACGTTTTCAATCACATTCAGGTCCGCTCCTTTCGGAGGCCATTCCAGTAGTGATATCCAGTAGCTGCATGTGCTGCTCCGCCTGGAACTCCTTGACAGCCCGCGCCGTGTGTAACGGTGACCGGTCCTGTTGGAACAGGTAATCACCGTCTGGGAATAAACTGCTCACATATGGCAACAGCACATTGTTCAAAATGTTGCAGTGTTGTTCAGACGATAAGTGTCTACGTATACGTTGCAGGGGCCCTAAACCATATCTTGAAACAGCACCCCACACGCTCACACTCGATATCCCACTGGCAGACACCTTGCACGTTGTCTGGGTCGTTCCTGCGTGGCATTTTGACGTTAACTAAAACAATTGCTTTTCAAAGCAGGAAGTTTGCCTCACCGTGTGCCTAGTAGTCTCCAAACACGCAATCTTTGGTCTTGTCGCGTCGAAAAGCGTCGACTCATCTGAAAAGATGACGCGACCCCACTCTTCTGATGTCCATGCTTCGTGCAACTCAGGCGAACTGCCGTCGTGCGTCCTTGTTTGCCGCCGTTAGTAGTGGCTTCTGTGCTGCGACGCGACTGCGAAGGCCCGCAGTACGCAGGCGACGTCGAACAGTGGTGTCCGAAACGTCCAAATCCAAGTCCTCGCGTATTGCTTGGGCTGGTAAGGAAAGGGTTACGAAAAGCAGCTGCATCTATGAGGGCGTCTTCATTGTCTGTGGTAGCTTTAGGACGGGGCGCGCGGGGTGCATCCTGAACGCGACCTTCATGCTTGTAGGCTTCAGTTATCCTGTTCACAGTCTTCAGGAGCCTATTAACTAAAGCGCCAATATACCGCTGGGAATAACATTTCGGGGAAAGATCGGCAATTGAGCGCCGTTCATCATCAGGAACCCTAGCCATAATACGATTTGGCAACAGAATGAACGGCTGCAAAAGATGTTTGGTTGTTTTATATACGGCGTTGCATGCACAACAACTTTTAAGGAAACGAATAGGCAAGCCCTCATAGATATACAAGTTTTTTTTTTTTTGTCTTGTTCTGTTCAAGCACATATAATTAAAGAAATCTCAAGATGCAGGATGCATGGGCTTAGACAACAAAAATGCGGCTAGCAGACGACGAACAAGTGCATTCATGACGTCATGCGCGCAGTGAAACAATTATTTCGCGGAAGGCGTGATGCGCATGCGCAATGTTTCCAGTGATGACTGTAACGGGGCGCTCATAGTGTCGTCGGCCATGCGCTCGCGTGTTCACCCTAACAGTGCTCACCACTGTACGCGGTTGTGACTCTGGAGGCCCCGAAGAACAAGCTGCGCATGTTTTGACGCGCCTGCATGGCTATTACTGGTGATGGGCGCTTCCAAATCCTGACTTTGGCGCAGTTTTCGTTCACATTATCAGAATGGCACTGTAAATATGATTTGGCGCACTTTGACGCACTTGGCACAGGAGTGTAATCACTGTCCATTTGATTCGGCCGTTAATATTATCGATGTAAAGGTAGTTCAATAGATGTGTTATTTGGTTTTCTTCGACCGTGCCTACTGTGTTCGTGCGTTACGAGAGCATCTCATCACGTTAGGCTCCACAAAACTTTTACTTAGTTCAGTAGACGGCTTCAGAAAAATAAAAAAAACTGCTTCTGCACCTTATGTTCCAACCGAGTTGTTGACACAAAATTACTTTTACAATAACACTGATGATCGATTGATGATTGATATCTGGGGTTTAACGTCCCAAAACCACCATATGATTAAGAGACGCCGTAGTGGAGGACTCCAGAAACTTCGAACCCCTGTGTTTTTTTGCAATAACTCTCTCCTATACCAACTGTATGCAGGGGCTCTGAAAGAATGATAATTTATTGATTTTTTTAAACTTACGCGAAGCTTGGAGACCAAGACGGTAAACTATGTAGCTTGTCATACTCCACTTTTGCTCTTTCAAATTGATATTATATACAGCCCAATGCTAACAGACTTATACAAATCACTTTTCATGTCCGATTCGACTACAAATACGGCACTAAAGGAATTTGCACGCCCACTTTGGCTACATTTCGCTTGAGTTGTGGCTACTTTTTGAATCTAACCAACGGCAATCCGGCTAGTAAGTGACATCGCTAATAATCGTCTGCTATATATATATACTTACCTGCGTATACACATGATAAGGCAGTACAAATCTTGTCACATGACACGGCTTGATGCACACAGCTGTGTATGCCCCAAGTGCATGCAAAGAGACGAAAAAAGAAACTGCGGGGCCCAGTTTTCCTTCATATATATAAAATCTTCTAGCTTTATCGTAACAATGTACAAACATTTCGTGGTGGTGCTCTTTGTGTGACAGAGATAACATTTCTACTATATAGTATTCGCGACGCGCTGAAATGCATACTGTGGGCATACTATACAAACCACTGACTTGATCGTGTGCACAACCTAAAAACAACTCAGACCAACACGCGAGGCCCATGTGGTTGCGACGCAGCGAGACAAAAAAAAGAAGAGGTAGTGATGCCATCTATTAGGAAGAAAATAAAGAAGACATGACTGCGTCATTAAGCTTTATAAGCAACATTTAGTTTTCTGCCCTTCATCACAGACGCACACCATCCCACTCGAAGCACTTTAGAGCAACAATTATGCGAAAGCAAAAAATAATTCAGGAAAAATTATTAAAGTGCAGCGAACAAATCATTCTGCACACTCACTCATTAACCAGCTTCCCACAATGACTTCGCGAGTTAGATCACAAAGGGCATTTTCCAGTCATGGCACTTGCATGTATTATGCGATGAGTCAGTGGGTTTCGAAGGCGCTCCGATGCAACAGAGTTCGCTTCGCCCCACGAAGGAAGTTATAAATAGAGTGCAGTCAATGAATACGGACAGACGCCATCTTAGAATGAGAAAGGATACAGATCTATGTATTTTTCTATGGCCGAAAGTAGCGCGTTCTCCTAATGCTTGCTGCGGCCTTTGATCGTCAAACTAAGAGCGTATATTCTAGGTTCCGTGAGTGCATGTAATCTCAAGCCACGAAGCCACATTAGGCATGTTATTCACCTCGGTAAGAGATAAGAGAGTTTAGTCATTTGACTGTTCTTACTTGTTTTTTTTTAACTTCCCCTCTGCTAATAAATGCTATAGTCGTATTGTAAAATAATATAAAAAAACTGCCACTTCTGACCAAAACGTCATCTTCGGCTGAGTGCCGATGCCCATTGTTCGGGAGATTCGCATTTATTTATAAAATGAGCGACGTAAACGCGCATTTGAAAGGCGAAATTCGGCCGCCTTCAAGGTGCGCTGCAACACTTTCCGAAGTAACCATCTAACGGCTTAGTTAGAGCATTTTATTGCCTCGCGAATCTATCACCGCAAAAATTTTTTAGCACCCGCCATGTGCGAGCGCAGGTGGGGAGATTCATTGCAAGCTGTAATTGCTCTCTCTTTTCTCTCGGCGTGACAAGCGTGCTCGAAGCTAAGCGGGAAGAGATGGGATATCGTGACCTACCTTTTTTTTTAATCGAAAGCACAGCTTAATTTCAGTGCGATTACGAGCGCACACGTGGCAGGCACTGAAGCTATGCAGCTCACGATGTTCAAATCAGCCAATGGCCGTGGACTTTGGGTATACGACGCGGTCATTTGGACATATGGCATCATTTGTAGAAAGAAAGAGGGAACGATTTCTAGCCAATTTTGAGAATTAGTGGTATACATTCTAAGCCGATTGCTGCACTATATTGTTTGGCTCGCGTATTTTCAGGAGCCTCGATAATCGATCAGCAATATTTTCTGACCTACGCTGAAAAATCTTTGCAGGGCTTTGGATGAACACAGTAAAAATGAAATTGAGTCATTAGGTGCAGAATCTGTGTGAACTGTTTCATGGGAGGGCAGTGGCTGTAGTAGAGCGTAGCTGTATGCAGCACACTCACGTTTGTTTCTGTACGCACCTTTTTAATGTAATAACTGACTCAAGGCATAGTTGGTTATCCAGTTATTCAGGGTGATGGCTCAACATTGAAAGAAGTATTGCTACTAAGCTCGAATATACTATTCCTCTCAAACGGCCGTTTTCACGGGACATCGCAATGCTGGGTAAACTGAACGTTTTCATTCGTTTCCACGAGAGTGACTGAATCTTCACTCAGCTATGCACGAGCGTACTTTCCTTTGAGTTCAATTAATTTTAACTATCGCGATGGAGTATACAGTAGCTGTTAGCACTGCCTGTCTTCATGAGCGCTACAAGGTCTTTTTATCGCCCGTTTTCCAAATACTTTCTACATTACACTGCAGTTACCCGTTGAGTTTAATGCTGAAGTGCTCACCTTTGCTGGTGTTCTAATTTGAAGCACTGACTCTCTGTGAATTTACTGCAATCACACATAGGTCATCTATTTCAGAGTCAGTGTAAGACAAACCGCATTACAAACAACTTGCATACGATTGAAAAATGGATTCGTTATATCCGAATATTCCTTTGTGAACCAAAACTTGTAACACTGTATCAATGGAGAGACTATTCCTCATTTCAGTATAGCCGATAGTACGTTATATTCGTATTTATCATATCGAGCTTTGACTGCATTCCATGCACTACTTGCCACAGGACACACATGGCACAGTTCCAAGTTTACATGTTTTCTTTAACAGTCAACTGCACTGTACGCAATGAAAGAAAAAAGTGTGACTCATATCTTTATACACTTCCATAGACAGAAGGGTCTGCTCTCCACAAAAGCACGCATTATGGCATCTCTGCTAAAAAGCACCAACAGGTCGCGTCACCGCTTTCATGAGTGTGTAAGCGCAATTGGGTGTCTGTATGTGTACCACTAGATTCGTAATATCACATCGGCGATATCATCACTATTCGTCAATATAAAGGCGACATCATCACGCAGCCGAAAACAAGGGCGTGCAGGAGCCCTTCACACTCTGCACATTATCAACTAAAGAGAGACAGAAAAAAAAAAGATGACCAGTGAGTACATCATTCGTCACAATCACTGACTGCTGCCGTCCGTATTTGCCCTTGAAGAAGGGCGCAGCGCGGACGACCCTTGCGACACACGGCAGCCACATTCCTTCTTAATGAAATGCATCGACGACGGCCAATCGCAACCTTTGTTCAATATGGCCTGAATTTGCAATAACGCCTATTTTGTAACCTATAAAAATCAACAGGTATATGCACGCTGATCCAATATGTACCCAATAAATAACCTACTAGAAAGCGAACACAAACAAAATGCGACTGCTATAAATGATGGCACAGTAGGCGCCTAAACTTCTCGCCTAACAATATTATTACCTCCGCGAATAGCTGGAACAACATGCACACCGTGGGCCACTGTATTTCGGAGGATTATGCTATGAGATAGTCGCGTTCTTACGCTGATGAACTAGGCGCTGTCGGTTGACTTACGCTTTCCAGAGAACCTAACTTACGGATAACCGCCAGCCGTTGGATAACAAACACGGCTCGGTAGGCGTGAACCCTGCGCGCTGTTCAGCACGGGTCGATGACTGACGCGAGCAGTGCTGGTGGAGTTGTCGACGTTTTCTCTGCTCACAACCTGGCTGCGTGACTTTTTTGATCTCTCGCACAGCAGACGGGCTGTTCAGCGCGGTTGCCGCCTTCGCGACGGCGTTGTCGGTAGACGCGATTTCACAGGGGCCGCCCCACGACGGGGAGCACCCTTCGGTCACCATCAGGAGCACTTGATGGTCGTGTCCTGCACCTTGGTCCACATGGCACGTAATTCAGTGGGCGTCATCAAGTGCGCCGTGATGAGACGGCGAAACTGGCACGGATCGTTCTTGCGCTTGTAGAACTTGAAGCCGTTTGAGTTGGCCGGCTTGAGGCCCAGCTTCTGGGCGACCATGCCGGTGACGAAAATGTCCTCCATAAAGAAGAAGGGGGTGTCAAGCGCCGCCCGGTACAGCGGGCCCACCACGTCACCGGACATGACGTAGCCGGTGCCGGACAGGTAGTCTGGGTACGTGTGGTGCGTGTACACGAAAGGCGGCACGTACCACTTGGAGGTCCAGTCGCGAACCGGGGTCGCGCCCTTAATCAGGCACCCCAGGAGCATCCGGCGGCTGCCCTTGGTGCGCAGCAAGTTAACCAGGTTCTGCACGTTCACGTACATGTCGTCGTCCGTCTTGAGGACGTAGCGAGAGCGCGGGCAGTTCTTGTCGACCCACTTGAGCAGCACTACCGACTTGACCGTCAGGTTATTGTAGGTGTCCATGAAGTCGGCCTGCAGGCAAACAGAGTGCATTTGGCAGGCTGTTAGCGAAGCTGTCTACGCGTGATAGATTCGACACTGAAACGAACACGTACATACAGCAGTGATATCGACAGTGTTGTGCCAGCCTAAGACGTACTTGAAGTTCTAAGAACCTGGATATTTTGGATTGATCCAGACTTCAGTCTTTTTTATCTTGATTGAATGTACACGTGTTCACAGTCGATAGGGTGATAGTTGTATCGGGGCTACCTTATCATACGCAGGTGTGCATACCTGTAGTTCCAAAATAAAACCTATAGTCCTCATATTGATTGATGAACGAAACCGAAAGGTGTTAAAGGCCGAGACTCCACTCACAGACTCCACTGCGTTAAAGAGGAAGACCAAGGGACAGAGTGAGAGACAAGCAAGGAAACACAGAGAGGTTAACCAAAAGCACGTCCCATTTGCTCTGCTGCACTGGAAGAAACGTATATTAGAGCGAGAAGAGAGGCACAAGAAAAATATAGGGAGAAGCTATCGTGCACTTGCACAAATCCAAGTCTCAAGCGATACACCAAGTTTACACTATGACACAAATTGAGCCCACCTACGGTCTTCAATACGTCACAGAGACGTGCTGACACTAGCTACAGCTTCGCTGCTCTCTGCGCCATTGATGCCCGTGGCCGTGGTAAAAAAATTTGGCTACTAAAAACTGTATAGAGTGCAGTGGGTTCGGTAACATTCGCAGCGGTTATCGCTGGGTGTCCTAACGAGCGTAATGGGCAGCATATCTTCGATATTCTCTTCAGTATTGCAACGGTCGCGTGCAGACATGTCAGCCATTCCGATGCGAAATGAGTATGCCTTCGCTAATGCAAGCCCCCATTCAGAGGATAGCAAATCACACTACATTACATTGCAGTGAAAGATTTGTGATAATAATGGAAGCTTCAAAGGATGAAGCCAGAATGGGTGGTACATTGAAGATCCAAGCCACGGCCAATAGTAGTTCAAGCAAGAAAAAAAGTCACAGTTTCGTTTGTAGGGCGAAGCAATGAATGCGATAACAATAAAACGGAATGACACACGAAGACCGACAAGCAGCTAGATACTTGCAGCTCACCGCTAAATCACAAACAAGGACGCTTGAAAAAAAAAAACCACAACAAACCCACTAGGTGAATGATGACGAGTGAGACCAAGCGGGCAGACGGACGGACGGACTAACGAACGCACGGACAAACTAACGAACGCTTCGCCCTACTCATCATTATTCACTCTGTAGATATGCCATGACACCATTTTTATTGACATGCAATGCAATGCAACTGGCTACTACGACGACACGGGACATACGACCTACGGCATAAAGAGTTTCGCTCTTAAAACGCACATCCAAAGGACAGCCCTGAACTAACAACTGTCAGAGCTTTCGTAGGCCTATCTGTGTTTTAGCAACGTGCTTCAAGTATTGACAATTCAGAATCCGACGCTCCTTGGCATTCCTTTTTCTTTTAAACTGCGCCACGTGGAATAATTCCTCAGTGCATCCTGCCACGCGGTGGCTTGTGACGCGAGATGTGCCCGATGTTCTTTCCCTTTTTCGCTGCACATCACGAGTTAGTACAGGCGGGGCCACTACTTTGTGCGCGTTTCAAGTTCTGAAAGAAAGTATAGGAACGTCGCGTAATAGAAAACACTCTATTAATACCTTGGCGTTCATACGGCGGCGCATGCATGGCACGTGGTTGAGTTGTCTAACGCAGCACGCTGCGGAGCGAGAGGTCGCTGGTTGGAATCCTCAGGCGGGTACTTTAGGAATTTTCTCCTTCTCATTTATTTTTATTTGTGTCCATTTTATGTGTATACATATATATACACATATCGGAGACATGACGGCAACGGCAAAAATCCGCCGAGAGGCAATAAGAAAAGACCAAAAAAAAAAAGAGTTGCCCTGCCCGGTCACTTTTGGATGTCTAAAAAAACCTGCTTAACAAGTTCAATGCTTGCTTGAATAATAAGTTAACAAGTCTTTTTTTTCGACTTTATACTTACTACTTCTGAATTACATTCATTTAGTTGTGTATGGTCTCGATTTCAGTGCACCCAGAAAAAGACTTCCAGCCACTTTCCGTAGACTTCACGCAAACGATTTTCGGGCACTGGCCGACAGCCGCCCGCCACGCAAAAGGAGTCTGAACGCATTCTCGCGCTTCTTGCAGACGGCTGAATTCCAATATAGACTTGGAGGAGTGTCGCATGCTGCACCACATTCGTTAATAGCATGCAGCTCCTGTTTTTCTCTTCTTTTGGGTTTTACTCCTATTTTAGTAGTATCTGTTCGTATAATCTTTTGTTATCATTAATCATATACCACATCACAGGGTAACCAGCCTGTCCACGAACTGACTAAACTCACAATATTTCCATTCAGTATAAAGTTCCTCCTGCTCTTCGTAAATTCCCTTTTCCACAATACACAATGGTTCCCCGCATAACGCCATGCATTGCGGTGAAGTCATTACAAGATGACATAAGAGTACTAGTTAACAGTTTTCGAAGCAATATTGAAGAGTATAATAAGTTGCGGCGCGTTATCAAGTCAAGGTGAAATACATATGAGACTCGTTTCGCGACGCGCACCAATTCCTTAATCACACTCATGGAACCCGTAGAGTTTCTTCACCACGAATTTGGTCAGCGGCCGCGACTTCATCATCGTGTTCCCTGACCAGGCAAACTCGTCCAACTCTTCGACTACAAATTTCAACGGGCTCGACGTCAATCGGGCCACCCGTTCTCACCTGGATGATGTCTCCAAACGCCTCACTCTCGGCGCGCACCTGCTCCTGCAGCGAGGCGTTCGCCGTGCGGCCGAGCAGGAAGAAGGCGCGCACAGCGGGAGACGCGGCGTCGCGCAGCCAGGTGTCGCGAAGGGCGCGCCGTGCGGCGCCATTGGCGACGGCCGAGCAGACGACGACCAGCAGGAAGCGGGGACACGGAGCGCGCGGCGACGCCAGCAGCGAGTCGTTGGGCACGAGTAGCCGCAGGTTCTGCTGCGCCAGCAGCCAGGACATGTCGGGCCGGTGCCGGCCGCTATTCATGTTCCGGTACAGGATGCCGTAGCAGAACAGCAGGCACACGGCCACCGCGGCCAGTCGAGGCAGGAGCCGCACCGCCAGCGAGGACATGTCCTCCTGCGTCGAGGATGGGAACAGAGTGACCAAATCGGCTGCCCACAGGCTCTAAAAAAATCATTTGATTACTTATTTGTTCGTGTTTTACGCTCCAAAACAACAACATTAGTACGAGGGACACTTAGTAAAGGTCCCTTATGAAGAGTGTAAAACCTTTGAACCAAGGAATTCCGGAACGTACCTTCCGGGGTTCTTGCGCAACCCCATTGCGCTATAAGCGTTAATGGGAATGGTGTTCTTTAGCGTGCCCCTAAATAATAGCGCGCGGTGCGCTTCACCTCCGTCGAAATGCGGCCGGGATTCGATCGGGCGACCTGGGTGAAGCACTACAACTACCACGCCCGCCACAGTAGGTGCAAAAAATAATAATAAAACAGCAACGACAGCTCCCAAGACACCCTGCAAACTTCGCGTTCCGCCTATGGGAATGGATTTTGCCGAATATCACGTGGACTCTGACCCATCGCGCACGTGTCGCTTACATATGCACTAGATCACGTGGCCAGAATATTTATGAGATAATAATGTTAAGAAACATAAATATTTTCATAATATGCTTACAACAACCCTCTCAGCTCAAATATTAGAAATGTAGCTTTAGTTCCCGTTTGGTACGCATAGTCAGTTCCTCCAGCAATTACGGAACACCTCTGCTTCACTTCTTGTATGCAGAAACTTACCCCTGCATATAATTGGAAACATTTCGGCGCACACACAACAAAATAAAACCAAAAGGTGAGAGGACAAGCATTTTGTTTTATCACAAAGACAAGCTAACTAGGGAAACAGTAGAAGCCTACCACATCAGACGGTGCACTGATAAATGCGTAAGCAGCCCATCGATTGTATTAACTGACAAAGAGTTCACTTTTTTTTTTGTAGCCATTCTTGACTTTTCAAGCGCGCTGTGGATACCACTAATGTAAAAATCGCGGTCATGTCGCGTTTTATTTTGTCCGTGTTTTGTTTTCTTTTGATCTACTTGTTTGTTTTATACTCTCTTATGCACATGCGCTTTCGAGCTACCCTGAGATGTACATTTCTTGTACTTCCTTCAATAAACTCAGTTGTGAGTTCACACCCAATTGTCGTCTCGCCTTTCGTTTTTCGTCTCTTGTGTGCGCGCCAAAATGTTTCAAGATATGTTCCCAAACCAACTCGTCCAGCTTTCCACACTATATTACCCCTCTATCTCTCTCAAACCGCTAGAAGCATCCCCGAGTTACGCCTACCGATTTCAGATCCTGCACTCATCATCACTACACCCAGCGCTTGCCGCACGTATCAGCTCCGCTTCCTGTATGCAGACACTTACACTGAGCACATGCAAACAGCAGCAGGCATCACATAGTTCCAACTAAAGCTTACTTATTTCGGCACTCAAATATGAGGGAAGCGGAGTCGTGAAGCCGGAAGCGCCACTCGTACGATGTATCTACTTCTGACACGTTTTCAACAACGCGCCATCTGAAGTCGGGGTGCTCATTTCACGGGGCGCGGGGCGGCAACCTGTCTGTGTACGCGTACTACAAGGCAGCCCATTCGCAGCGAGAACTGAACACGCTGGCACCCCGCGACGGGCCAACGAAAACACGTTCGAAACGCTCCCCACGACCTCTCCCCTTGACGAACATCACGCAAGAACACTTGCTCACAGCTTGCAGGCGGGTCAGACTGGACGTGAACCAGCAGCTGACGACGAACGTGCTTATCACGAAAAAGAAAGCAAGAAAAAAGGCACTAAGTAAATAAATAAATAAATACGCATGAAGAACTAGAAGGTAAGCGAAAAGAAAGAACAGGTTCTAACGCAGTACTATGATCAAACGCCGATTTAAACAGCGAGGGGCCTATAGCGTCAATGAAGCGTCGAAACAATGACAATAAAATTCGCGACAAAGGCTTGTTAGGAAGCCGACGCCGTGAAAAGACAGGCTTCCCCGGAAGAGGAACGTGAATTGATTGACATGTGGGGTTTAACGTCCCAAAACCACCATATATAATTATGAGAGACGCCGTAGTGGAGGGCTCCGGAAATTTCGACCACCTGGGCTTCTTTAACGGGCACCCAAATCTGAGCACACGGGCCTACAAAAGAACGTGGAAGTGAAAACCAAAAACTTAGGGCGACTATATCCTGTACACTAATTCACGCCTCTCATAAACTATGAGCACGACAGGCCGATGATTTCGATGAACGCAAAAAAAGGGGGGGGGGGGGCGGAAGGGAGAGGGGGACCAAACAAGGGAAGTCAGACACCAGAGATGATAAACCTGACGGGTGTATAAGTCCGGACCACACCACGAGTGTGAGGCACGCGTCGCAATTTCCACTTCAGCCAGATCCTCGGTAAAGAAAGGGAGGCGGACATGTGCTTGTCCAACTCGGCGCGCAAGGCGAGCTCTGTATGAATTATGCATCCCAACATTTTTCATTGTGGCGCCCAAAAGAAACTCGCACGCGCTTCGCATTTCCATAATTCACGCGAAACAACCGTCCTGTCCTGGAATATTCGCTTGTAACATGCGTGTGACAGCAAACTGGGTCTGAGTTATAGGTACCACGCTGATAATTGCGTGAGAAGTGTCGCAGTGGGGGGTTCGGGAACGAAAATTAGGCCATAAATTAGCACCGTCAACTCTGCATATACGCATACTTGTTGTCTAGTTGAACTGTCAGAGTTCTCGTACCTACAGTTCCAGGAACTGTCCTGAACGCCCTGTACTCAGATTAATGACCAGAGAGCGTTCGACCCACAGAGCTGGCCGCCGAAATCGTCGACCCTCGCTGACGTCAACATTGAAGGCACTCAATGTCGTCTAGAACGACCACGGTGTTTTGCAAAAAGGGTGTATCGACTCCAAAGCTTTCTATATATTTTCTAACTCAGTTTACAACCGAAGTTGAGAGAATGCCGCAAACAAAAATTAGGTAAAGGTAACCGTCCCCAATTATCAGGTCTCGAAAAAATAAAAAAAATGACGTAGCTTGCGATAAGTCACGCAAAGCTTGATGCAGTCGAGCCGTACAATTTCAAGTGAAACGTGGTTGATGCTAGGCTGTTCTTTAGCTGCTTCTCAGTGTCGATGGGTTCACGTTAAACAATAGACAGCCACAAACACGACCCCGATGGCCGAACTCGAGACAAAACTCGCGCTACAAGCGAGCGTTCGCACTTCCCCTATATATACGGGCGCGCCGTCCTTTAAGGCTTTCGTCGCTTCGGACTCTTCTCCCGGCTGCCGTTTTTCTATCGTCGTGCACGCCGCTGAAGTATTCCGTATACAGAGGCTCCGGCGAAGCTTAAACGTGCGGCCACAGTGTTCACTTCTTGAACCCGACAGTTTATGAATGCTTTTCTAAATAGCAAGTCACGTATAGAGTATAGAAATCTCAATTGGTGTTTGCCAACCATCTGTTGCCGTGTTCAATTTTAGTGAACCGATGGTGACTAGTGGGATTTCGCGCATTTTATGTGGCAGACACCAGTTCATGATGATTATGCCTCCTTCCTCTCTTCCTTTCAATCCCCCCCATCCTTCTCCCACGTGTGGCGTAAGAAACCGCGGTTATCCTGCGCTACTTAACCTTCCTACCTTTCCTTCTCTACCATTCGCTCGATTTTATTCATCCGATACTCCCGCTCCGCTGAAAATCATTTGATAGGAAGTAAAACCTTCAAAAGTGTCCGAGGCTATTCGAAATGCCTTGCGCGTGCATCAGAAGATTAGTTCCTCGCATTCCCTCATTTCAGACACCGCATCATCACCGCCAACGGGTTTGACCACTGATCGACCGATTACTTTCATCTAAGAGATGCGTGCAACGTGTTGCAGCTCGCCGTAGTGAAGTGATATCGCATTAAAAAGAAAAATCGACAGCGACTTATTCCCCGATTTGAAATTAATGCGACAGCCGCAGGCTGTCATGACGGAATGCAATGAACGGACGGGCAGAAACTGACGCACCCAGATTGAAGACCTTTTGAACTGCTATCGCAACAAGAATGAAAGGTGACTTCTGCTTTCTATAGTGAAGAGTCCGACAGAATCGCGTCTTGTCGGGGCCAAACACAGTGCAATACAACAAGATTGAAAACAAGGCTCTCATGTAGGGAGCCGAAAGGGCTTTTGTATTTTTGTGTATTTTATCTTGGTCCGCGTTTTTATTATATTGCACAATGGCTTCTGCTTTATTTGACACAGGAATAGCTCGGAAAAAAATATGGTGGACAGAGAGAAGGACAGTGACTGCGGGAAGGAAAACACTCGAGTTAAAAAAAAAAAAAGAACAACCAGCATTTGCGATGCGTGGGACTTATCTCGAAAGGTCGTCACGGCTCAACAGAGCACAGAGCCACCTTCTGCCACCTCATCAACCTCCAAACGAGATAAAATAAATAAAAATAATAAATAATAAATAAAGCCACGGCGCAACTTCCCATAGCGCGCGGGCATGCCTGCAAGAAGGATTTTCGAAGCGCCGGAGCGATACTAATCGGACGCCTCTCGACGAGGATGGGACACCGGGGAGACTTTTAAAGGCCGCAGCGCTATCATCATTAACAAGCCGTGTAACGTCGGTAAACGAGCCGGCGCTCACACGAGATACGCGCAACGTAATGCGAAAGGGACGGGCGGGCTCGTAATTGTCATTTCATTGAAGCTCACGACAGCGTCCGAGATGAAGACAAAGAAATAACTGACGATTCCAAAGCAGGCTTTGTCGCACAGCCATTCAGGAGCGAGATCTGCCTCCGCGCGCATAGTTGCGCGCAGCGAGGAGGACTAACGATAAAACGAGATTTTCCCCGAACACAACGTGCAGCTGCTACTGCCACATTTCGTCGGAAGCGCCGGCTAGCATCGTTAAGTGGCCGACAAGCAACGCCCACGAACATATTCCTTATTCCTCTCGTTCTTAAAAAGGATGACGTTCTCCGGAACCTCGGAGGCAGCGCCTGCGCCGAGTCGTTCATTAGGAAAAGTACGCTCGTTTC